TTTCCCCATCATGAGCCAATGAAGAATTATCAAAGGCCTTTTTATTAATTCAGATGCAAATGTTATAAATTCAGTAACAAAGTTGAATTCTGGCTAATCTTCTAGATGGTAGTACATAAGCTTTAATAAGAAATTAACAGTTTCAGACCTAATAAAAAGGCATGCTGACTGCATCTGCTGATAGCTATCAGAAGAGACACTTGTTGGCATAGTTTAAAGGGTAAAGAAACAGATGAGAAATGTCCTGTATGCAAGTCTCACTGGCATCCCACATTTTCCAAGTGACCCCACAAAGTTCCTTTAACTAAAAAAGGTACATTTTGGAAACAAATTGTACCACTATTACCTAGTGACCAGTTTTGGCTTTATCACCAATGAACTTATATTCAAGGCACAAAAGGACCCATAAGAATTTCTTCTTCATCATCATCTTTTTTAATTACTTGCCTAACTCCAAAAGACAGATAACTTTGCTTTGATGTATTTCAATTGAAGATTAAACAAGATTATTTTAGCATCTCATAGAAAGAAAGAGTGCATGTCCAAATGGATTATACACTAAAATTTTCGCGACCAAATTTATATATAAAATGTAAGGGACATAGAGGGACACACACTGAATACGTTAAGGGATTTTTTATTATCTAATTTTTCATTACCACTGGAAAAGTTTTCTAAGTGGTGGTGCTTTATTCTAATGGAAAGGATAATTGCTTGTAATAATTTTTTCCTCAATCTAAATACGGATTTTTCCATAATATCAGCTAAGGAGCATGCTGTTCAAAAACATGCAGATAATTTGTCAACAGAAAAAAAAATGTAAATGTATTTCTGTAACATTCAGTCATTGCACAGTGCTCAAAAATGTGTTAAAATCCCTGCCACACCTCGGTATAGTTGGGAAGTTTTGCTCTTGCCTTTAAGGAATCTGCATTCATCTCCTTATGCTTAAGGCATAAGTTTAAGCAGTAGAATAAGCTTCCTTTCTTTAGAAATAAAAGACAACCTCCTCCTGCCCACTCATACTCTGCTAACTTGCTCAGATAACTTATGATTCACTTAGCTGTAGAACCAAAATAGAAATATCATCATATTGTTTTGTTTGCTTCCTAAAGGCTTGGGCTTTAAGTTATACGTATGCAAATGTTGCAGAAGTAGCAAATATTCACATACCTTAGGACCCAGAACAACCAATGGTGACATTTCCGAATACCTTTACTTAGGTGAGCAGTTCCACTAGATGTTACCACCATGCATATTGCATAAACATTTGCAGCACTGGTCCCCTTAAGTCTAGGATAAGAAATTCCACGTGAAATATCAAGCAAAACTTAAGTTTTGTAACAGTTATGCAGACTTAAGTAAGTAATCAAAGTAGTCAAAAGGCATCGCCAACTTTTCTCTTCATCTGCCAAATACTGACATCACATATAGTTACACTGCAAAACGTGGTGCTTTTAACCCATCAGTGAGGCAATGAAGTTGAGCAGTGCGTCATGCTTTCTGAATCCCTGGATAAAAGTGCTGTTATCTGAATGGAAACCAAGGTTATGTTTCCATAGTGACTCACAGTAAATGCCAAAGTGGTACAGAATTTCTAAAAAGGTTATCA